TTTGAATAGTTAGATATTCCATGTACTTGAAACACATAAATTAACCATATTTCTGTTTCTCTATCTCAACCTTTCTTAGCATATTAGTCACATTTTTGTTGGCTTCAGTGGTGAAAAGGACAGGGATATAAAAGTTGCGTGACAAATTCATAAATTTTGAGCAAGTGAGAAGCTGAAAATCCTTTACCTGATTGAGATTCTTCTCTCCTCAGTAACTGGTGGGACACTGAGACAGACTGAGGCTCATCATAGTGCCACAAGATGTCACTGACAAGAATGGAAGGTCTGCACATCAAAAGGCTAGGTTATCCAAAGAAGAAACATAGTACCACTGCAAACATCCAATAAACTGCATCAAAAACAACAAATCCATAGCTGTTCTTTCTCAGAATAGGACGATTGTATTCCAGCAACATTTCCAACATTTTTTATGAAAAAAAAAATATAGATTGAAAAAAGTATATCAGTAGAAGATAAGAGACTGTCCCAAAACGAAGTAAAAGAATGCTTTGGGATTTTTCTCTGTCCTTAATCTCAGCTTGCCATTTTTTTGGTTTGAAAAAGAAAAGAAATAAGGAAAGGTTCTGAAAATTCTTCTTCTTCTTTTCGCTTGATTAGAGATCATTGGCTCAGAAATCTCCGAATTTTGCTCAAGGGGCCATTTGATCTATGGCAGAGCCGATATCATTGATCTGTTTGATCTTCGTCATGGAGTGACTTGTAATTATCTCTTCTCAGGGTGGCACCTACTTGGTGCCTGTTATCTTCTCCCCACCCAATCAAAAGGCTATTTGGGATAGGACACTCTTCTTTGCTTATCTTAGAGAAAGATCCACAGTTTCTTCCAAGAATGCCTTTACTTACTTTGCAAATGAATTGGACATGTTTTATCTTAATGTTTTTTGCTTCTTGTTTCTTTCTTGCTATTTTGGTTTAAAAAATAGCTTATGCTCTCAATCCCATTCGTAAAAGCTCTCTCTCTAATAAAAAATTTTCTTTATCGTAAAAAGGTAGCCTCAAAACGATCTTGTTATTTAGATATTCTTCTTTTATCATAAAAAAGTAGCCTAAAAAACGATCTTGTTATTTAGATGTTCATGATTTTAATATTTTAAAAAAAAGTTGTTCTAAACGCTAGAAATATACTATACTTCCATGGAAAATTAATGTGAAGTTTCTTTTTTGAAATAAAATATATAAGATATATATTGATATTGCCACTAAAGGTGTGTCCACCCATATACAAAAAATTTATAAATCAAATAAAGTATCAATTAATGCAAGGTTTCTATCAGGACTTTGTATATATAAATCCACTATAACATGACAAAGCATGATAACAGAAGAAATGTATGAAAAAATGTTATCGAATTAAGAGTTATAGATCCAGGTACGTACATTGATGTATCTGGACGTCGCTCTAAGATCAAGTGCCGATCATCACCCTCACCAACAGATTCATGGGCAAAGCTATCCAAATAAAAAATCATTAAAATCAATATAAGACCATAAACATTTCTTGAACCCCAGAATCAGCTTACTTATCATCTGCTTTGTGTGGATTTGCCAGCTATCCTTCACTAAGAGTAGTTGGACATTCTCTTTTTTGTTTCTTCTTGTGTTTTCTTGGGTGGATATATATAATCCTCCATTTAAAATTTTCTTCTCACTTTTTAATAATATTTCTTTTTCCATAAAAATTAAATAATTATGTAAGGATGCTGAATAAGTTAGAGATAGTTATTAGCAAAAATTTGCAAAATAAATACCCAAATATGTCTGCAAGACGATGCATGAGAAGGCGACGGTATGGATTCATTGGCTCCAATTCAAGAATCCCATCTGAGCTGCAACTGAAGATTTCCATCATTAATATAGTTTACATGCAGAAACAATTACAAGAGATTTTTTCACAAACTTAAAGGAAAGGGAACCAAATGTACACACAACAAACTAGTATGATGTTCACTATATATAGTACCAGCAGAATGAAAGCAAGCACAGTGCTTGATGCCAAAGACACTCACATCATTAGCAAACCAAGGTGATGAAACAATTAATCATGCTGATCCATGGAGGTCAGAGACAATTGTGGTGATAATAGCATAAAGGATAGAAGAGATCAAAGTTCGTCTAGCATAGTCGTGGAAATAATTATTGACTGCAGTACCAATGGTTTGGAGGATGGTTGTTGTCATCAAACATCACATTTTAAGGTTGTTAAAAAAATGAATTCAATCCTTGATGCTTCTCTCATTGCTAATGAAGTTCTAGAGGAATAAAGACATCAAGAGATTAGAGGTTCCTTTTTTAAATTAGACGCTAAGAAGGCACATGGTAAGGTTAATTAAGCTTTTTGGACAATGTCATGTTAACAAACAGTTTTTTGATGGATGTCGGAGAAAGAATTTTGGTTGCCTATCTTCAATGTCTCTTGTTGTCTTAGTTAATAATAAGCCCCAATTATAGGATTAGTGGACAAATATGGTTGAGACATAGCCTTCCTTTTTTCTAAATCATTTTGATGCTTTGTTG